AATTTTTTTTTTTTTTTGTCAAATCAGAAAAAAAATGAAGTGGGCGAATCCGTTAACCAAGAAATTAAATTGGTGTGGCCTTTCATCATAATTATAGATAAATTCAATTACATTCTGAGGTGATAACCAATATAGTGTTCAAATAGGGAAATACATTAAAGAATGTTTAAATCTTACAGACTACATGTCAGAGAATAGTTAAACCTTTATTGTTGCTGCTAACACGTAGTTGCTGCAACGTACATTGTACGTTCTGTACGTAGTTTGCCGCATACATGTATTCTGTGTGTAGGATGGCATTATTCATACAACTATTTAGCTTTGTTAGATATTTAGTTTTAGAAGACCATACAAAAGTCCCTGTATGTTTTGGTGAGTCAATAATCTTTTTAGGCCATACCAATTTAATTTCCTGGTTAACGGATTTGCCCGCTTCGTTTTTTTCTTCTTCTTCTTCTTCGGTACTCTCTAACCACCCCTACTGGGGTATCACTGAGATTTGAAAATAAAAATAAAAATTCAAAATCAATTGCAAAATGCTCATATTTTGCCCTGAACAGTTAAAAACAGTCCTTTTCTTCCTAGTTGTTACAGTTATTCCATCTTTCAATGCAGTGGTATCATTAAAAGTTCAAAATTCATTGTTTAAATTTTGAACCAGCCTGGTGTGTTGACTTCAAGGCTACTGTCGTAACATTTTGGGCCATAATAGGATGCCTTTTTTTTTTTGCCCGCCTGCTCCATTTTTTTTCTAGAAAAATCTGTTAACCAAGAAATTAAATTGGTGTGGCCTAAAGTGAAAATTCTAAAATGTTCCTTCTGTGCTCATAGTCTCCTGGATACTGGAATCCCAGAGGTTGTGAAGAGAGTTCAGAAGGAGTTGGAGCCACAGAAGACGATGCTCAAGAACATTAAGGTCGCTGGAACAGACATCCTGGTCAAGAAACTAGAAACAGTGTCTGCATAGAACTCAGTTCAGCATCCATTTTTAATATGATTATTGATATGATATAAAAGTTCCTTAGCAGACACATGGTGTTTCATATACTACAGAATCCAACATGTAGTTATGTTGATAACATTACCTTTACCAACAAGCTCATTGTTCATTAATTTGTTTGTTTCATTCAGAAAACAGAACTTGAAGAGTAAAACCAGAAGTACCATACTGTTATAACAACGAAAAATGCATGCACATTGTATAAGCAAGTTGCCAAATCTCTCATGAATCTAAATCATTATGTTCTTCAGTAGTTTTCTTTTGTCATAGACCCTGTTCATACCAGACTTATATTTAGCGGTTTCAACCGGTTTTTCAAAAACCCGGCTAAAACCCTTAGCGTTCATACCAGACTTTTGATAACCGGTTTTGTAAAAATCCTGTCCGGTGAATATCCAATTAATCGGCCATGACTGCAGTTTGAATAACCGTTCCTCCCGCTCTTCTGATTGTTGTCCTTGGCCTTCTTGCTTGTATGCCGTCTTCAGTTTGTTTTTTTACCTTAGTGCAGCACTGATCCTTTATCTTCAAGAAATCAGCCTCCTCCAACATTTTTGTTTCGGTAGAGCCCTCCTCCCCCCTAGCTTTTTCGAATTTGGCGACTCCTGCTCTCCAAACCTAGGTATCAGGAGCGTCCCGTTTGCCGACCAGGTTGCGTTTGCTGATTCCATCGCAAAATGAAGAAAAACCGTGGAAAAACAGTGGAAACGAACTCAAAGTTGGTCAAAACAACACGATCAAAAAAGCTTGCAGGTCGCACACGGCCAGGATGCTGACCCGTGACCCCGGAATTATGACGCAAAAACCGGTTCAATAAACCCTTAGCGTTCAGACCAGGTTTTTCGGTGGAAAAACCCTTCAAAAACCCCTCAAAAACCACCTCCCGAGGTGGTTTTTCAAAATCGGATTTAAACCCCTAAAAAACCGGTTAATTTGCGTTCACACCAGGTTAAATAAAAACCGGTTTTTGAAAAACCGGTTGAAACCGCTAAATATAAGTCTGGTATGAACAGGGTCATAGATTGTATACAGAACTGGGCATTTTCTAGTGTACTGCTTGTCACAGATTATAGATTATGTAATCTCAACAATAATTAATTCCATCATGACAATGGTTTTTGTGGGTAATGAAAGTTGTACAGTGTGTGAGAAAACCAGGCAGAGGTAGGAAGATGGGGGTTGGTTAAATCGGCTCATACTTTGTATGTGAGATAGGTATGAGGAACTATGAACAGCCGTATAGTTAAAACCCTCCAGCTACTTTTAGTTGTGGAGTTCTGGGACCCCCCTCTGAGACCCTCACAAATCAAGCAATCTATGGCGGAAAATTACTGAAATTACAATGGATACCATGGTAATTCTGATAATGATATGAACATGGGTTTTCTTTTGTCACATGGCACGGGTCTTCTACTTGTACAGAACAAAAGTTGAAGGTGCAACAAAACTGTGAAGAAGAATAGTACATTTGCCAATGATGTCAGAATCCGTATCTAACAAACAATCATTAAAACATAAAGTGTAGCTTCTGACGTTTGTCTTATTTTTTAAAACAATTTTTTAAGTACTAGTAATATCAACAATCGAGGTACAATGTATCCTGTAGATGTTCATATTGGTGGGGAAGGTTATCTCTTTTGAATTGGTTCCAAATAGAGACAATCATCATATACCTAGGCTGAAAAATATGTTTTGTATACAGTTAAAACTGTATATATAACCTAGCACCTACATGTATAAACTTGCTTGAGACAGACGTTTTGTCCTGTATTTTAAGTGCTGTTACAGTAATGGATGTTTGTTCTAAAGGACGTGCCCGACTACATTCAAGCTTTTGAAAGAACTAAAATATCGTTTGACTATGGACGATAGCTACAATTTATGCATCTTAAGATAGAAGAAAAAGTAAGTGACGTCTATGCCAGTCACTAGTTTGATTGTACAACGTGTACATGGGTAGTGTCGGTAGTGCTGTTACATATAACACCTGTGATGTCATTCTGTCTCCTAGTCTAGGATTTCCCCGCGTTATTTTAAGGTTCGATGCCGTCAGTTACTGTGACTGGGGGACTTTCCAGCTGAGGTATTACCTTAGCTAGTTTGCGTATCAGTGGGGAACACCCGAAGACACACACTTTGCACTTCGCTCAACCGTATCCCCTTCCCTCTTCAGCGTGATAATTCACGTGCACGTTATCAAACTGGCATAGTCCAGTCGCCGGTGATCACTGGGTGCCATTCGTAGTCGGATAAATTCAAAGCCAGGAACGTCTACTCTGAGGAGTCACGTCCCCAACACTGCATTATGTGGACTCGTCCAAGTTGGGAATTGAGGCGAATTTTGTACAACTTTCACAAAGTATTTTTGACATACCGTTGTTGATTGCCCTCGGCCTTTTGTGTTCTGTATGTCGTCCTGAGTCACTGTGTTCAGGCGGTAACGTTATGTGTGTTGTTATTTGGATCGAAATTTTAAATGAAAAGGGGGTAGAGTCAACAAACCACCTGTGCGTAAACAAAAAAGGAAGGTGTGTCAATACTTGAAAACTGATGACCCCACGCTATGACGTACGCGTTGCACTTCGGCCCCAGTAGACCCAGTTGAACAAGACAACCCATGAGGAAGTAATGAAAACGTCATACCAGGAGTTCATTTCAACCCAGACAAGTCACATTTTGGACCTCTCGGCTTGACTAACTGTGCACTACCAAAACGGTAGTAGTAGTATGCTGTGTTTAGCGACCTGTTAACGCGGAGCCCTTGACCTATCCCTAGTGCAAGGTACGTAATAATATTCTGTACCGCTGATCAGTCCAAGGAGGTTTTAACCTCCTTGGTCAGTCTCATACTAACCCTTATGGCTTCTAGCTAGTTCCCACCAACCCGCACTTGAAGAACTTGTAGACATAGTCTATGGTCCACACTGCTTTTAAAGGTTTAGTTTGCCACCCTTTGTGATTATCAAGGTTTCGACACCTGTAACGTTACACATCTCGTTGACAGCTGAATGTCTACCTTTACGTCCGTACAGGAAAATCGTTACCAGTCTACCGACGTGGCTTTCTTCCAAAGTGCGTTATTCTGTCGAGTGTGACAACAAGGATCAAGGGTTTTCGTGGAACACTGGGGATCAACCCGGAAGTACTGTCACCTGACGCTGACCTTAGAGAACGAAGTTAGGTGTGTCTACCGAAACGCTGACAGTCGAGTCGTGTTTCGGGAATCGGAGTGATTATCACCTACGGAGAGTTGATTTGAGGTCGCGTACATGTTCCAGAGAAGTGTGGAGATGTTAGAATCAAAACCGTATTTGAAAAAGATCGATTTAAAGTAGAAGACTCAACACCTGTCCTGCCGTGTTTTATGCAAGTTAGGATGAACATATAAACATCACCATGGCAAATCATGAGACCATATGCATGAAGCTGGTGTGTTACGCACGAAGGGCGGTTATACTGGCTATGCAGATACAGATGAACGAACTTGGGCAAACGTCCCAAATCTTCTGAGTATGACGCCAATGCATGAAGAACACAAATGTTTGGTAACACTTTAACGCCGATGGAAGTTTGCTTTAAGTTGACAATGCTACAGCCTTGTATTGCTGAAGAGTTTTTTAGATAGTCTTCTTTGGCATACAGTACGTTATAAGTTATAAGCACAGGATATCGAAGATACAAAGGTTAAACTAATACGTGTCTACAAACGTGTACTTCACACGCAAGCAAGCAAATCTGCCAGTTTGTGACATTCGAGACGCGCTTGAGTCTGACTACGTGACACATGAACACAACAGGCCACTGAAGGTGTACAAAGGAACTCAAAACACCTACACAGGTGTCCACGACTCGTTCGGGTCTTTCCATTAGGCTTGCCCGTGGACATCATGTCAAGTAGTCCCGCTTCTACATGTATAGTCTACTGTTAACTTTTAGCGAGAGCAGAGTGGTGAAGCCAAGGAGAGCCCAAGAACAACTTGAAGACGACACATTTCTTCATTTCTGACGGAAAAGGGTTGACAAAATGGCGTGGACAGGTGAGTTACTAGTAAGAATGTGAACACCACGCAGGGGGTATCATGATGTTGAACTTCTCACGTTGAGGCGCTTTTAATAACCCCGTATGAGTCTCTGTGTGTGTTTGTGTATGTGTGTGTTTGTGTATGTGTGTGTGTGTGTGTGTGTTTTTTGTGTGTGTGTGTGTGTGTGTGTGCCTGTGTGTGTGTGTGCCTGTGTGTGTGCGTAAAACTCAGCGTATGTACGTGTGCAAATGTGAGCGATCAGAAAAGACTTGCGGCTTTCTTTACAAACGTTATACAGTGTGCATGGCACTGGCGGCAGATTTAAGGTTTTCTTTTCATTACTTGCTTACTATTGGCACTCTCACAACAAGGAAGTCATTCGTGTAACAAATATGCCGGTATCAGGGGAGTGGGAGGGGGGCTCTGTCAACAGGGATCAGTTGTTTTCATTTGCTGGTATCCATTCAGTGAAAGTGGCAGAAGCGATCAAAAGCAGATTCTTAAGAACTTCGTTTATTACCTCCATTAAAAAATGGAGGTATCGTTTTTGGTGTGTCTGTCTGTGTGTGTCTGTGTGTGTGTGTCTGTGTGTGTGTTTGTGTATGTTTTCGCACATATGTAGTTAGCATAACTTCAGATCGCCTTTATGGATTGTGATGATATTTGGTATGTTGGTAGGTCATACAGAGATAAATGTCAAGGTCAAATATGGGCCTCCTGATAGCTGATCTTGGTACTGCTGCAGCCTGAACTTCCAGTTTTGTATCTTTTGTCCTGAACACGCTATGGTTTAGGATGTTTGGTGACAGATAGCTTTTCCTGTCAGGAATAAGTGTTGTGGGTTTTGTCCCCCTAGCAGCTTGTTCTGGAACTGCAGGGGCGTTTCTGGCAAAATCTTTTAAAGCGGATAAGTCCAAAAAGGAACAACATATTTTCGTTGTTTTTGGTATGTAGGTAGCTTATAGAGAGATATACAGAACTAAAGACAAATTATGCAAATGAATACTTAATTTGCAGAATTTAGGAGGAAATTCTGTAATTACAGTGTTTTACATAATTACAGTACTTTCATACATGTATGTAATCTATAGCAGGTGGAACATCAACAGATACCAATTATATATGCAAATGGCCTAATCTGCATGATTAATGTAAAAATTCTGTGGTTAATAATAGGAATTTTATACCTTGTGACATGCGTAAGTAACTGAAAGGTTAACATCACTATTCATATTATTCCGATATTATCCATTTGCATATTTAATGAAGACATGTTGAAATGAAATATTGGCAGAGGATAGGACTTGCACAAGCAAAATATTGTGATTTGAGTTTAGAAAACAATAAATTAAACTAGATTATGTTAATTACCTTATTTCCACAATGAACAAGAATTCGGAATTTTTGTTTCATCTGTATAGCTTTCTGGCATGTATGTCCGTCCATTCATATACGAGGGGTGACTTGATTTTGTGAGACTCAACGTTGCCTACGTAAAGAGTGGAAGAAGAGACCTCGCACAGAAAACTGAAACCTTTTGATATCTGCATGAAGTCATGTTGTTATGTAGCCAGGTTCAATGATCGACATAACTTGTTGATTCTTTCTCTAATAAAATTGACTCAGGATTTATACAAAATTTTCTGAACTAATATATGTGACCGTATATATCAATATATTTAACTGCTTCGGTTGACAGTGCTCCTTTTCATCGTCACTGAGTCGTCATGCGGCATGTTAGCTATGGGAATGTGCGTGATTCATAAACTAGATTTCCACGATCTCATACCTTCGCCAAATGATGTTTATCTTTATGACTGACAAATTATAGATTATTCCCCCTGATTATGCAAATAGGATCCTCATTTCCATTTACAAAGAATGCGATGCTAGCATTTCCTCATAAATTATGCAAATGAGGTTCTTATTTGAATAAGTTATGTTTAATGATGTTCACCTTCACTAACTTTCAAATACCCTAAGTATGAAATTCCAGGCAGTTAGCATTGATGAAGTACAACATTTTCTCATTAATTATGCAAATTAAGTATTAATTTACATAATCCATATCTGCCTGTGTTTTTCTCGTTCTCAGTCACATATACCGCAAGCTTGAATAGTTCTATCATGTAATGCAACTGATTTATAGAATATCCTCATAATTCATGCAAATTACATCCATATTTCCATAATTGCAACATAATTATGTCAAGCATATCTACACACCAAAATCATGACGATCTATCAACCGGTTCTGGAGTTATCCTCGTTTGAATATTATCCAAACAAATGCCTCTGCAGTTTCACAGCAAGCCGGTAGTTCTTATTTCGCAGCACAAGAGCTACCTACCATCTAAATTTCGTGACCCTAGCATATCTAAGTCATGAGATATCAAAACCGGATGCCGCTAGGTGGTCCAAAATCTAATCATTTCCAGGTCTCACCAAGACCTACCCACCTACCAAATATCAAGTCAATCCATTAAAGCCTTCTTAAGTTATCGTGTTTCCAGACACACACACACACACACACACACACACACACACACACACACACACACACACACACACACACACACACACACACACACACGAACGCCTCTGAAAACATAACCTTCTTGGCGAAGGTAACAAATCTTAAATGACCAGACAGCCTTATCCTCTTGTCTTTCCAGAACCCCGTGTATTTGTCATCCACGCAGGAGAAGACAAGGAGTCATTTGTTCGCCCTTTGGTCACCAAACTACTGCAACAGGGTTTAGCCGAAGAAGATGTCTTTTTCGATGAACATTCTATTCAGCCTGGCCAGGGCATTCGGGACATGATAATGTCGGCGTTATCATGTGAACGTTTGGAACTTGCCGTCATTGTCGTCAGCAAGTCATTTCTTGAGAAACCCTACTGGCCTAAGCTAGAATTTGAAACATGTATCAGAAACGGGAAAGCTATTTTTCCTATTTGGATCGATGACAATGACGACAACTTCCGGACATTCAGTCAGTCTGTGCAAAGATACTCCCCCACACTGAAACAGATGAGAGCAATGTGCGTACAGAGAAGAGACGCTACGGATAGGCTGACAAATATCGCAGCTGAAGTCGTGAAGCGACTCTCCCCCCCAGGTTTGTACGATGTTTACTTCACGCATTACAATGCAGCTAACACAAAATACACTGTTACAAGATTCATCGCAAGATATGTAACATTCATTGCTGGACAACAAACTTATGATGATAGGAATTCCCCAAAAAGGGCTGCGAATGACACATATTGTTGTTTCCTCGTACTTTATTTGAGGTGTTCTTTGAGGAAAGCATTCAATATTTGAGTACACGTGACAGACATGTCTAGCCTCTAATGAATTAATGAATGAATGAATGGATGATTGAAGATCATCATAAAGGTCTTCATTCATTCATACATGACATACATGCCTGAATAATAGAAAGTTCGTTAAACCATGGTTCGGTCTTTTTCTGTCCCTCACAGGAATCCGAGCACTCCTTTACCTCGGCTTATCAAAATTAAGCCGTTTCTTCACAGGACAAAGCCGTCATACAGAGGCCAATAATGGAGAGCAAATAGAGGACAAACTGAAGGAAAGGCGTTTAGAGTTAATTAGAACATGGGGAGAAGATCAGCTACAACTGTTGGAGAGAGCAGAAAGACTGCTATCGAGGGAAGATATAGTAAAGCGCACCAACGAGATTCTGTCACAATCATCTCAACTGGGGCTTGATGTTGTGGGTATCAAGATGGGCTGTGCAATCTTGCACTTGATGCCGAGAAACCTAGCGTGTTTGGAAAAGTTTTGGGCAGCCTATATGTCTGGACAGCTCGGTATTGACTTCTCACGCCGTCTCATCACTGCCGAGATGAGAAACATCGCTGGACAAGACTTAGAGGTGCGGGTCCTGATGATGGAAGAGCAGTATTCGCAGTGGACAGAATACTTCAATGCGCGAGGTGGGCTTTATTCACATAGATTTCTGCAGTGACAGTTACGCAAACGATATTATTGCGATGATTTTTTTTAGTTTGATGTGTAAAAAATATACGAGAAAACAAATATTGTGCGGGCTATATCTGATAGATGATGAAATTTATGCATTCTAAGCTGATATTATGACCTTGTCTTTATTACAGATGCACTATATAATATAATAGAATAGTATATATGTATTTACCATTTTCTTACCATTTTCTTAGCAATCGACGCAGGATCATTGACGGTGCGGAAGTCAGCCGAGCACAAGGTCAAGATGGATCAAACCATGAGCGAACACCATCGACAAATCCTCCGCCACAATCGACAAACCATCGTAGAAAATCTCTATGTTACATCTGTGTTAGACTATCTATACCAGGAGGGTGTGCTCGAAGAAGAGATGATGCAAACTATACGTGCAATACCTAAGGAACAACGAAGCGAACGTGCCAGAGCATTGCTAGATATTCTCCCGTCAAGAGGGGACCGTGCGTTTGGACTTTTTTGCGAAGCACTCGACAAAAGCCATTATGGTTATTTGGCAAATACTCTAAGAGAAGCCGAGCGGACGTCACTGCGTAAGTATAATTTTTTTGTGACATTTGGATTTCCACATTGAGATCAGGTCAACCCTGCAAGCAAGGAGGTCATATAAAATATAAATATAAAATCCGCAGTTGGACGGTGGTGAACACCCCCAATTCTTCCGCGAATTCGAAATGCACAGCCAAAAAAAGCGACGAAATGATATTTGGAGGGTCCAAATATAGGTTTAAACAATCAAATCGCCTGTAACCTGATTCTAGACATTTCAAGTACTTACATGGCTGAAACGCTTCGACGGTATTGTTTTGTAAACAACATTGGGATTTGGGCCTCGAAACCTACTTCCGGGTATACTTCCGCGTTGAATTCGATGCGTCCCTTTGCGCCAGATTAACATTATCGACCTGAATTGTGGTAGCAGTAGCAGTGACACCGTCGATTAATGAAACAATAATAGTAATGCTTATATTCTTCCGTTCGTATTGCATAGTAATTTCCTTATCAAAGTATAAATGCACATAAACTAAGCAATAAAACATACAATTTGCTGAAGCACCGATGAATTATCATCACCATGGTGATGAAGTGAGAGAAGTATGCATCACAGCTCGTCCTGAGGCTAAACTTCGCGTGCATTTAGCTAATTTTTATCAGTTAAGGTGCAAACTAAAGGAATGTACATTTTTCTACAGTCTACATTTGTACAGTGGAGGAGCGGGCTGATTCAAGGGAGGAGCAGGATTCTTTCAGGGGGGCGATGGCAGCTGGAGGTGTGGCACCTCAGGTAAACGAGCAAATGCCTATCCACCCGACTTCTTCACCAGAAATCGGTACTCGTAACTTCGAATAATAACGATAACAAGATCACTTTGAGAAGATCCATTCTTTGACGACAGTCTACGAGACACACCTGCAACTCTATCTTCCGTTAAGAAACTTTTTGCAACTAGAAAGGCCAATATTTGCTTTGGAGCAAATACAGCGATGGGTTCACCACATTTTACCACATGGCAGGGAAAGAATGAGAAACACAAGGGAAAACAATGATTACATTGATATAACTATAATATGAAGTAACATACAACTAAAACAACAGTTGGATAGCTATTCCCTACTTTATTGGTTAGGATTTTTAATTGCATAATGCAAACTGTTGATTTTCAAAATAAAATAAAAACATTCATGCCCCGCATTCCAATGCTGGAGCAGAAAAGCTTGAAATACCTACCAAAACACTTGAATAAAGACATACTGTCAGTATGGAAATGCTCTGTGCAGGTGTTAATCAAGTTAAATCCCAACAGCCAATCAGCAAGAAATGCTCTGTGCAGGTGGAAATGCTCTGTGCGGGTGTTAATCAAGTTAAACTCCCAACAGCCAATCAGCAAGAAGTATAGAGGAAAGCTGCATGCCTATTGGTTGATGCCCTGCATTCCATTGTGATGACTCATGCCCAGACGTGGTAAACAAGGCACACTAACACAGTAATACATTTGCTATAACACAGCCAAAAAACTCAAATAAAACCATTCTAAAAGCCTGTATCACAAAAATTTAAAAAACGCCTAGGGGTATTTGCCCACTGTACCTCCATACCAAATTTCAGGACCTTAGGCCCTAAAATGAAGAAGCTGAATCCATTTAAAGATATGGCAGGAGGAGGAGAAACATCAGAAAAAGCAATATGGGTTCACCACCACTTCGTGGTGGTGAACCCATAATGACTGAAACCCAAATGGACGGACAAGGACCATATGCCAAAATGACATCATTTTATACAATGTACCAATATAACTACCATGTACATATGTAACTGTCAACATATATGTCTAAGGATTTATTACAACTTTATGTACAAAATGTAGATATACAAAATGTAGATGGATTTGTTAGAACTTCTATCGTGTGGGATGTATATCTTGTTATATTTTATCTGACCCTGACCTCTTCTCTTAGCGACCAGAACTCAAGCATTTGTATAGCGAGGACTCCACTTTGCCCGGTGAGTTTGCTACGTACTGTATACTTCTTCACAACAACTTCTTCTTCTTCTTTACTCATCCTCTTCTGAGGTGCAGCGCGTGAAGTTTTGTCGCCAGTACTTTCTGTCTTTCATAGCAGACAAAAGCTCCAATCCTTGTAGACCAGTGTCAGACTGGATAAGACCCTTGAGTGTTGTGATTGGACGACGTCGACTAATCCTCCTTTTTGCCTCTGGAGTCCAGAGTAGCAATCGACCCGCTGGTTCTGTACCACGAGTCACATGACCCGCAAGGCTGAGCCGACGTCTTTTCACTACCGTGGTGATGTTTTGGAGTGTTCCATATAACTGTTTGTTTGTGATGTGTTTACACCAGGGTATGTTATAGACTACCCGCAACATCTTAGTGTAAGTACCGTCAAGTTTCTTGGATCCCATAGTGTTCATGACCCAAGAATCGGAAGACCCAAGAAGTACAACAACTGAGGTACCAGAACAATGGCCATTACATTAGGATCGAAGGAAATTTCGGCACTCATGACGTCCATTCACATATACAGTCCTGGTGATTAACCCATGATAATAGCAAATGTGGTATCCTTGTGAAGGGGAAACGAAGCTTACCAATGGCATGTAATACGATGCAATTGACAAAGTAACAATAAATAACCGAAATGAAGTTACCAAACTTTTGGGTTAAGTTAGGGCTGATAGGATAGATGTACAAAATGCATACATGCATATGTCTAGAACATATCGGTAACAGGGGTATACCTTGTGTTATGAGAAGTCATTGGATAAACTATTTTTCTGGAGGTGAATATGATTATTGTACCTTTCATTCGACAGTTGAAGTGCTAGTGCCGATGAAAGTACTCCCTGTGGTTGAGGCCTGTGCAGTGGCACTGAAGGACCACTACCGGTATACATACAACAAGTATTACCCACTAAGCTGGTATGCCTTTCGTCTGGACACAGCAGGAGTTTACATACACAACCAGGTAAAGTTGTTATTTACTTCTACTCTTCATCACAGCTGTTTATGTTTACTTTCACAGAAGGAAAACGTATTCTTCTTGCTCTGTTTCTTCTTCCTCTTCTTCCCTTCTTCCTCCTCTTCTTCTTCTCCAAACAAATAAGGCCAGTGACCTGAACCTGACGTCTGTCACCATGGTAACTGGTGTTGGTTACATCATGTTGCAATTTTATAGCAGGAGGGATTTTGCTCCTGTCACAATATATATGTTACTCTTCTAGCTCTGACAATGCATTGTCTCATCATGCATGCGTCAAGTTAAATCAGATGATACTGATAAAATTTCACTGAGCGTTCTGTTACCATTTTTCAGCTGACAAGAGTTGACCGCCCACGGGCAGACAAGATGGATCCAATATCAGAGGATAGACTGACATTGGACGAGAAGAACACGCTGCTTCAAGGCGCACCTGGGACAGGGAAGACTACGTTCATCTATCACCAGGCCTACAAATGGGCTAAAGATGAAAATCTGAAGCTACAGGACGTCAAGCTTCTTTTCGTCCTAACAGCGCGAAGCACGGGTGATAAAAACGTGCTAGAGGAGGCCTGCGACCAGTTGCTACCGAGGGGGTTTCTCGACGAGAAGAGTGTAAAAGAACTTGAGAGATGGATAGAACTAAACCCAGGCCGCACCATGTTTATGATCGAGAACATAGACGAAACTCCAAACATCACCGAACAGGACGCACAGATGCCGTTGAAAACGAGAAATCCCGTCCTTCAGTATTTGCAAAGGAAGTATCTGCCCAAAACCCGGAGGGTATTCACAACAAGAAGCACAGAACTGACAACCGAAGGAAGAAGACCACTGCCAATCCACATCCCCCCGCTCTGCGATGCTCACTATGTCTTCAACGGCTACTCGGATGCCGCTACAGAGTACATTCAGAAGTTTTTTGGCGACGATGACGAGAAGGCCCAGAGCTTGCGAGAAGCCATCTCAGTCGATGAGTGTCTCCAAGACATCGTCAGGAACCCTCTGTACGCGGTACTGATTTGCATTTTGTGGGAGAATGACCAGGAGAAACCCAGCACATGTACGGAGGTCTTCAGCAAGGTGATAGATCTCCTTGAGAAAAACTATCTCGAAAAGTCTGGCCATTTGTTGACCCCTGAAGCTGTGGAGGAAAGTCTTCGCAATCTTGCAAAATTGGGATGGGATTCAATTGAACATGATGAGTATGACTTCAGCATTGACACTGTCAAAGACACTGGCAATGGCACTTTCCTTCTCGTTGAAATGGGCCTGATCGTGAAAGACCCCCTAAGGATAGAGGACCGTTACAAGTTCCAACACAAGACATTCAAAGAGTATTTCGCGGCAAAGTACGCCATGAGTAGACCTGAGGGAGATGAGTGCCATCGTAAGCTGTGGTCCCCCGAATGTACCAGTGGACAGAAGTACACCAATGTCTGCCTCTTTGCTGCTGGAATTTTGCAAGCATCTTGCGGGGAGTACTTCAAATCGATGCAGGCATGCCTTTCAGAGATGACGAAAGAACAGGCACCACGGTGCTGCATTCACGACGTCATCACCCGTGCGTGCTGGGCTGTAAGCGAATCCGGTGAGATGACCACCAATGCTCCACTTGTGGCGAGGTCCCTGCTGGAGGATATCAATCTTGACTTTCAGGACAGGCTTCCTGTAAAACCTGGGGTCATTCGTGGACTTACAGAAGTTGTCAAAGTTTTACCCGCCGACAAGCTTAAGGCAGTAGACCTAGGAGAGATGTGGATTCCACATGCAAATGAGTTGAATGGTCTCGGTAGAGCTCTGGCACAGACCAAGGGTATCAAATCTCTGACTGCTACCGTAACACGAATGGACATGTCTCTGTCCAATCCAGAAGAGAAGGACAACAGTGGGATCCTCGACTTTCATCGAGGGATTGCAAAGAATAGCAGCATAACGCACCTGACAATCGAAGCCAGCATCGACACGATGAGCGAAGAGGCCATCAAGGCAATACCTCAAGCCGTACAAGGAAACACAACTGTCACAGACCTTCGTCTCCTTGTCTACTTTGCTAAGCTGTGTTCAGAAAGATGTCGGAGGAAAATTGCCATGGGTCTCAAGGCGAAGTGTAACAGAGAGAAGAATGCCAAGGTATTCTTCGAATCCTTCGCGGAAGCATTACGGTCTAACAGAACATTGCAATCTCTGCAGCTTAGCAGCTATATCTTCCGTCACGGAATGGCCCTAGATCAGCTGGCACCCGCGTTGGCAGACCACCCAGGTCTGAGGTCTCTAAGCGTATCTGGGCCATGGAGCGGAAGAGGACATTTCGAAGACGATGGAACAAACGCACTGGCACATATTCTTGAGAATACGAAGACCCTCTCCTCCGTGACCATTCGATTGCAGTCCTTGAGCACCACAGAAGGGGGCGCAGATCGCGCGGACATTCTCTGCGCAGCGCTTGCAAGATGCAGGACTCTGGAAAAGGTCGAGCTTGTCTTCACCTGGATGTTCGCACGGGAAAAACTCCTGTTGGCAAACTTTGTCAGAGTAAGCCAAACTCTGAAAGAGTTGACACTGGAGTGGAGAAGCATGAACGAATCCTTCCTCCTTGCGTTGTGTGAGGCAATCAAGGGGCAAACAGCGGGAAGCCTGCAGAAGCTCGCACTGACGGGGAGGTTCGCCGCCAAAGGGCAGGCCGAGCTCGGGAGGACCTTCGCCGGTAGCAGGACTCTCCACCACGTCGAGCTGCACGGGAATCCATTCCAAGACGAAGGACTACAGGCTTTCGTAGATGCGGTGATGCAGGTAAGGGTACCATCCCGCAAAATCATATGAAATGGAATGTTTTATTTTATGTTTGAATACTTTGTATTTTTATGCAAATCAAGAAAGCCTAATAGTATGTACCATGGATCATTGCAGTTTAAAAGCTATATAATAACCTTTGTCGGTATGGTCGATGTGCATTGAATACTATTTCTTCCGACAGAGAGTGACAGAGACCCAAGCCTCTTCCAGTGGATCGCCGCGCCAGGTGTTGTTGAGTGGGACAGTAGAAGGCGCGCGCACAACAGACGTGATTCAGGCTACCCAACTGGCAGAAGCGACTCTCGCAGATTCCCCTGACATCTCCATCGCGCTAGGGGATCTAACCCCAGCTGCACCGGACCCGTTAACGTATGTTCCATAGTATCCTTTTTGTGATGCGCGGCCATGGACCTCCGGTAGGAAGTTATGCGGAAATAGTCGTCTGAAGCCAAAAGTTGACAATGCGCTGAGGCGACCGCTCTAAAGCGGGCGCCCACTCCCACCCCAAGCCCCTGGCCTGACCAAGGACAGAATGACGTCATGCTGGGGGTTGCATTGTGGGTGATGACGTCATACCTTCCGGTCCAATAGCCGCGCATCACAAATAGTGGTCATAAGGCCACAGCAAGTAATTTTTTATGGATGACATCCACGCGCGCATTATTAATTTTCGGGCGATTTTGGAAAAAAAACAAAGAAGAAATTTTGATGCCCTCTGACAGTGGTCAACATGTCGAAAATGGGCAAAGATGTCTGTTGCCATGCCGAAACGTGGATGGCAGATAAATATGAAAAGAGGAGACGACACTGCTTTGCTTTTATGCTTTGTCTTTTAGTTTGATGCAGTGATTTATTTCATTCCTTTTACATGTGGTGATGGCTGTGTATATGTTATGTCCGCCCTGAATCAAAACCATATTTTTACAATGTTTGAAAACGTTTGGTTTTCAATTTTTTTTCAGTGATAAATGGATGTTGTAATAGTTCGTAGTAAATTAAGCACGATATAGGTATCATTTCTTGTTTAACAACGTTTATGATGTCAAAATTTGAACATCTAGGAACCATGTTTTTTTTTGCCCGCCTTGTTTTGTTTCCGGCCTATCGCATTAGATTTGGAGTCTGCGGAGGATGTCATCCATAAAATTTACTTGCTGTGGCCTAACCGGTTGGCTCATGGCGTTCACTACGCATGTACACTGTGATTCATTTTGGGCAATATCGAAGTTGAAGGTCCCTGAGACAAAAACAAAACCATGGTCTGGACATGTATGCTGAATATGGTCCAGACAAGAACTATTTACAATTTAGCGGCCTTCACATTTGACTTTGCGTGTATGACACGTATGTCACGTGCCATGATCATGATCGGATGATAGCGTTGTAACAAGATGAGTTTTTGGCGACGGCTCAGGGGGAGCCTAATGGTACAGTATTGTGTGCAGTTTGCAGGAATTCTTAGGAATTGTACAGGAATTTTATCCACAATCATGGAATGTCTCACAGCTCTGGTGGCACACATCTACTTAGGACCACAGTCTTGGAAACCCCTGGCAAAACCTTTCTGCAGGGACGCCATACTTTCCCGGGGGCCGTCCACTATACACTCAGGGGAGGGTAGGAGTGATCTACTGAACTGCACTGTATCTGTGTAAACCTAACAGGTAACAAGGTACATGTACTGCCAGTGACGTATGATATTAAACTTTATGATAACGATATACAATTACAGTGTTATACAATATACAATGAAGCTGATGACTTTCTATTGCCTGTTAAGTCTAGTGCAGTTCAGGAGATCACTCCTACCCTCCCCTTAGTGCATAGTGAACGAGCCACACAGAAAATAGGCCAGGTTTTCCCAGAGGCTTGCGACCTCAAATGTTATTTTTAACAAACTCATAAAAGACCACAACGAAGCTTCCCCAAACCATGACAGTACCATGCAAACAATAACCCTGACAACAACCGCCGTCGACATGGTAATGTATGTTTTCGTTGTCAGTCTTGTTGTGTGTGTGTGTGCTTATTTGCAGTATTGTCGAGAGACTATTCTTTCTGTTGTAAATATTGTACAAGACCGATTATTATATTGTCAAAGCACACCGTTTTATGTAGATTTGTACAATTAGGGTTCCTTGAAATATGCATTGTAATACAAGTAGTTTAAGAGCAAGGCTGAACACAAGCTGTGTGCTACATACACGATGGTAATCAATAAAGTGACAAAGCTAATGCCAAAGGTAGTTACGGCGTTTTGTTGTCCACTCAAGTTATTGTAATTGTATGGACAAAAGCTTATGTATGTATGCCTTATTTCAATTCTATTATGTTTACTTTTGGTTAGTATAGATGAGGAGGGCTTAGCATAAGCTAAATAAGCTTTTTTTCCCTCCTCCTGCATCTGTTTTATTCATTATTGATTTATTATGTATAATTTTTATTGCTGTTGTGCAAATAATAAACAAACAAACAAACAAACAAAAAGCTGTATAGAGTAAATACGGGTTACAACTTATAGCGTGTTACAGCTACAGATATAAGAAAAAGACAGTGACAGTATCTATGCCAGGCACTAGCTTGGTTAAACAGTATGTACCTGTAGCGCTGTTATAAATAATAAAAGCCCTGTGATGTCATTCTGTCTCGTAGTTTAGGATTTTCCCGCGCTATTTTTAGGCGACGCCGTCAGTCACTGTGACTGGGGGATTTTTCAGGTGAGGTATCCCCTTTTGGTCTTGGCCGGGGAATACCCGACGACACACATTTTGTTCAACTGAATCTCAGCTATTTCTACTTCTTTCATGTATAAGTAGCTTTACTAGGTTTTTTTTAGTGGATAATTACGATGTCGATGTGGCTGTGCACTGGTTCTGTGCTACACTTTTGTTCTTATAGGCGGTTGAGTAAATACAAAAGCTATCAGTCACAAACGACTAGCGCCAGCGAGAACTCGTCCAACACCATCGATGGTATGGACTCGTCCAAATTTTGATTTAGGTGATTTCCAACTGCACAAGAGGTTTCAGAAAGTAAGAGTGACGTATGGTAGAGTCACCAGTAGCTGGTGTTCGTTGTCTGCATCGCAACATACGCATAGTATTTGTTGTGATGAATTGAATTTCGTGATTTGGGGTAGACTTGGTATCCCCAACTACCTAGTTTTACCCGTGTTTAAGTGTATGTAGCGAACGACATAGCAAGGTGTGTCAACAACTGAAAATTGACCCCACGCTTTGTGTTATGTTCTTTGACTTCAACGTAGTTATTTTTTCAACCAGGGCGTTGCCTGGTCAGAAAAAGTGCTTGATGTGAGTTCTATCTCCGGCTTGGCAACGTACAGTCATACGTGAACAGCAAACGTTTGTGCCATGCGGACTAGACAACACGTTGGGCCTTCTATCTTGGCGGAGACTAGTCCTACCACGTAACGTATGCGTGTGTTTGGCGAGGCGGAACGCACAGCAATGACCCTAAAACTGCTCAAGGTACATTAACATTTTGTCGCTGTTGCTTGCAACCTGTTTGATCGTTTGATATCTCTACTCTCCTAAATACCGGGCTACAAAAGAAGTTTAATCGTTCGCTTATGTGAAAGCAAAATACAAAAAAAACATGTAATCTTTCACATTCTGTTACACATATAATACAATTTCCTGAATTATTTTTGTTTGGACTAGCTTAAAAGCCCAGGTGTGCCCTATATACATGGGGCATATTACATGAAAGGGTTGTTACATAGTAAGCTTTTGCTTTATTTTCTGACGTGTTTTAAAAGTTTCTTCTAATCCGTAAAAACGTCGGTGTAGACGCGGTGTATCGTAGTGTGGGTGACTTGCAGGCCATGACACAGTCAAACATTCCAAGCAATGGCCGATTCATTATAGGTAACATGATCATGTGAAGGACCAAATTTAATTATTTACTCTAGATAAATACATGCCGTTGTTACTGGGAACCACACTAAGGTAAAAACAAACGCAAAGTTCTTTGAAGAAGGCACGTTTTTCTCGGAAAGGCACTGAGTGTTTCCTCGTGGATATTGTAAACATTTCACTCAAATTTCATTGAGCATTTATCCTGTCTGAGCTGGGTTACGGTCTGACCTGGGTTACGGTTACATTCGTCCTAGGACTGTGTACTATTTTTACCTCCATGAAAAATGGAGGTATTGTTTTTGGCGTGTGTGTGTGTGTCTGACGTCTGTCTGTGTGTGTGTCTGTGTGTGTGTGTGTGTGTGTGTGTGTGTGTGTGTGTTTGTGTTTCCGCACATTTGTAGTCAGCATAACTTCATATGGGCCTCCTGGTGGATAACCTTGGTACTGCAGCAGAACTTCCGGCTTTTGTATCTTTTGTCCTGAACATGCTATGGTCTTGACTTTTTGGTGACAGATAGCTTATTCTGTCAGGAATAAGTGGTGTAAGTTTGATCCCCCCTGCATATGCATATATTATGTTAATGTAGGGGTCATTTGCATAATTAATGAGGACATGTTGAAATGAAGTATGACAAAGCAAGCCCATATTTCATGGAGGTATGAGATCTCGGAACTCTTGTTATGTCGTGCAGTTCAATTTGGCTATCATTTACGTGTAAAAAATGAGTACAAGGCAGGAAATAGATTGCCTGATTTACAAATCATCCACTTGTTATTGTCAGTAAACAAATGAATAGTCCTACTCTTTTCTTCACAGGTCGAGTGTCTGTGTTCTCAGCAAAAAAAATCCACCAGCAGCTCGACTAATAATAACAATAAGAGATTACATTTAAACAATGATGGAGTCCATGAGTCAACTTCATCGTGACATTCTCCAAGACAACCACATGAGCATTATCCGAGACCTTGATGTGAAATACGTCTTGGGTTATCTGTTCCAACAAAGAGTCCTGACGGAGAGGACCATGGGGGACATAAGGGCTATACATGAGGAGAAAAGACAAGAGAGAGCCGCAAAACTACTCAACATTATCCCGTCGAGTGGCGACAGGGCTTTCGAGATATTTTGCACAGCTCTAGAGAAGTATGGGTATCCTCATTTGGGCAAGTTGCTCAGGGAAGCAGAGAAAAATGCTCCACGTAAGTACACATATCACATAATCTCCAATCATATATTTCGGTAGCCGCAAAATACTGTATCAAATTGGCCAGGCAGTGTCAATTCGTCAGACAGTTACCATTAGCCACCCAACATCAAATAGTAACTGTCTGACTCTGGCGAATGGATACAGCCTGCCCAATTTGATACTGTGTTTTGCAGCCACCGAAACATCTTCTTACATATCACATGTCTAGATATTAGGCCATGTTGATTTGATTATATGGATGACATCCTCTGGGAACCCCAAAACTGATGCGCGCGTGCGAATAAAAAAAAAGTTTTGCAAAAAAAAAGTTGCTTTCACTATGAAATCTACGTGGTCATGAAGGTTGAACAAATGGCACAGAATATGTTATGGCGAATAATCTACTCTTCGAATTCATTTCTTTACATTTTTGTCTTTTTTCCTTTGATTTTTGCATTCTACGACATTGGTATCGTTTCTTAATGTTTTCCTTGCAACTTATGGTATATTTTTGCTCATTTAGCAAGTGTTTTGCACGATTTACAGTATGGTTGAAAACTTTTTTTTTGGAAACGGCCGAAAATTCATGCGCGCGCGGATGTCATCCATATAATCAAATCAACATGGCCTTACCCACAGTACAAAAATGTACATCACACCGTGCATGTGTACGTCAAATTAAACCATGAACCAGCTTATCAAATCTTAGTCCATGGAAATATATTAGCTTTACCACTTATCTTTTAAGATGCTTTACTAATAGACTTAAAATCTTTATTTAGTAAGACGGTGCCACCATGGATAAACATCATTCATGTAATCGCTCGGGTTCAGGCTATGTGAGACGTAGACACAAGGAACATGGATAATTTCTGATAACGATTTGAAAAGAACACACGTGCCTTATACTGTGTGGATGTTTTTTCTAGCACATGCAGTGGCAACAGAAGTCCCGGGTGTAGTTGAGAAGTGCGCAAAAGCTCTGAGGGACCACTACAAGAAAACATATCAGAAGCATTATCCGCTCAGCTGGCACGCCTTTCGTCTGGAAACAGAGAAGGTGTACATACAGAACCAGGTAATTTCACCCTTAACAAACACGTTTATATAACTTACGATCTACTTGAACATCACAAAATGATGAGTATCACAGACAGCATATGACATATCAAAAGTAGCAGTGTATACGTAGTATAGTGTAATTTGTGGCCATCATTGAACCGATTAAGGATTAGTATCAGAAGAAGAGGTGGGCATGATACTCGTATAAGGAAAATAATGTGGAATGGTGATGTTTTAAGGACATACGTACTAGTATGTTAAGGTAATTGTGGAACGACTGTTTCCCTTCCTTCAGTTTTGCTTGTACGAGGCTCTGACAGACAAACTGCACACTTTGTTTTTAAACCACAGTTTACTCGAGTGGACAGATCCGACACGGATGAAATCGTCCCAACGCCAGAGGACAACCTCCGGCTTGACAAAAAGAACCTGCTCCTCCAAGGTCGCCCTGGTACGGGCAAGACCACCTTCATCTACCACCAGGCGTACACGTGGGCAGCGGGCAAAAATCCTGCCTTGGAGGACATCAAACTTCTGTTTGCTCTGTCAGCGCGCACGGTACGTACCGGGAACCTTCTGCAGGCTGCCTGTGACCAGTTGCTGGAGAGCGACTTCCTGAGCTCGGTTGAGCTGGAGTCCTTGAAAGGTTGGATCAAAGACAACCCGCGCCGTACCATGTTCATGATCGAAAACGTCGACGAGACTCCAGGCGTCAGCGAAGAGGACGTGGTGGATCCCGACCACACGAAGCACCCGATTCTACGGTACGTGCTGAAGAAATATCTCCGGGAGACGCCCAGTATCCTAACAACGAGAAGTACAGAAATTACAACAGGCAGTTCTAATCCAAAGGCCATTCACATCCCGCTGCACTGCGATGCCCATTATAATGTGAACGGGTTCTCTCAAGAGGATATTGTCAGGTACATCGACAGGTTCTTCAGCTGTCGTGCAGAAGGCGAAGAAGATGCCGAGAGCCTCAAGTTTGCCATTTCTGTTGACGAGTGTCTACAGGACATTGTCACAAACCCATTTTACGCCGTCATTGTCAGCATACTATGGGGAAATCGGATCAGGAAACCAAACACGTGCACCGAGATAGTGGAGGAAGTGATTGCCTTAGTCGCGAGAAGATATATCGAGGACCCTAAACATTCCATGACCAAAGAGACGATGGAGGAAAGCCTAGCTAACTTGGCGAGGATGGCATGGGATTCAATAGAAACGGAAAAGTTCGCTTTCACAGCCAAAGAGGTAAAGGAAGCAATTGGAAATGAGTCTGTCATTGATATGGGTCTTATCGTTGAAGATCCCACCATAAGGGAGGTTCGCTACAAGTTCCAGCACAAGGCTTTGAAAGAGTTCCTGGCTGCAAAATATGTCGTGACGAGACCGCCCGGTACAGAGGAACGAAAACAATGCCTTAGGAAGCTGTGGTCAACCGAGTGTGTCAGCGGGCAGAACTATGTCAATGTCTGCTTGTTCGCTGCTGGACTTCTGAGAGAGAATTGCCAGGATCTCTTCGAGGCTTTCGATGTGAATTTCTCAGAAATGACGAGGCTTGAAGCACCTAAGTGTTGTGTGCACGACGATACAAGTCGAGCGTGTTGGGCTGTCAGTGAGTCTGGCCACATGAGGAAAACTGCTCCGCTCTTGGTAGCATATCTGCCTGAGACAATCGAACTAGACTTCAAGAGAAGACCTCCCAAACCAGCGGTCATTCGGGGGCTTGCAGAAGTCATGGAGGCCTTGCCGGCAGACAAGAAAGTAGAGATTGCTGAGATGTGGGTCTTAAACCCAAAGAGCCTTCAGCGCCTTGGGAGAGCTATGAAGTGCACGCGGCGTGTCAGGTCTCTGAAAGTGAATGTGACAGGGCTGGACATGACTCTCTCTAATCCCATGGAAGACAACAACAACGGAATTGTAGATTTTCACAAGGGTGTTGCAGAAAACCAAAGTATCTTCCACTTGGCGATTGAAGCAAATATTGACAGGATGGATGAACAAGCCGTAAGGGCAATACCACAGGCCATCCAAGGTAACAAGTCGATTCGTGATCTGCAGCTCCAGGTGTACTGTGCCAAGAGCTGTTCACACAGGTGCTCAAACAAAATTTCCAAGGGCTTAAAGACACACTGCAGTCGTGAGACGAATGCCGCGGTCTTCCTGGACTCCTTATCCACTGCCTTGCGTCATAACTCCACTCTGCGGAGCTTGTACTTGAGTGGGTACATCTTGCGACACAGGAAGGCTCTGGAGGTACTTGCCCCGGCGATAGCTGAGCATCAAGGTCTACGGGCGGTGCACGTTAGAGGCTTCTCCGGTGGAAGAGGACACATCCAAGACCCTGGTATCGACGCTTTGGCTTATGTAATGGGGAATACCAAGACACTGGCATCTTTGTCCATTCGACTGAACGGTTTGACTTCCACGACTGAAAGCGCTGACTGTGCGATCAAGCTGTGCGAAGCCCTGAAGAAGTGTGAGACATTGGAAAGACTTGAGCTAGTCTTCACCTGGATGTTTGCACGGGAAAAACTGCTGATCGCAGAAGTGATCTCAGCGAGCCAGGCCATCAAGAAGGTCACCTTCGGCTGGAGAACCATGAACGATTCATTCCTCTTCGCGTTGTGCAAGGCAATCGAAGAGCAACCCAGTGGCAGCCTCAGGAAAGTAGAACTATCGGGAAGGTTCAACGCAGGGGGTCTTGGAGAACTGGGAAGACTCATAGCTTCCAGTCAGACTCTACAAGACGTCGAGCTGCATGGGAAACCGTTCTGCCGGGAGGGATTTCAGGCATTTGTGGACAAGGTTCAGGAGGTAAAACTTAGAAACTTTCGTCAATGTGGATACCATGAACATTGTAGGTAAAAAAATGTTTTGGATTAAAGGATTGTAAAGACAGATGTTCGTTTACCTTAGATTTAAAAAGCTTAGGGTTGTACCAATTTGGGAAGCATTCACAAAGAAGCTTGTTCCATAGTGGTGTAGTTCTAGGAAAGGACCGTTCGGTGTGGAGGAACAAAGTGTGATTTGTTTCTGTAGAGGTGACAAAACATGTCCTGGCCTGTGGGCTTGCTTAAAACGCATTGTTAAGCTTTTTTTGTGTTGTTTTCCAGTCACAAATGAGCCCCACCCCTTGCCGAGCCGAGCCTATCAACGTGTCCATGAAAGGCACAGTGGAGGGAGAACTGACCGAAACGTTGAAGTTCCGAATCCATTCCGCACAGGTGAATCTCTCAGTACATCTACAACCGGCTGAGTCAAATCCTCTGACGTACATTCCATCTGGACTAGAATGGTTATCGTGAGGTTGACTGCACTTTCCATGGTTAAACTATATGTATTAGTTCCGTCCACTACCACGACGTCGTTGGGTGCTTTACTAAATGTGTTTAATCAAGATTAATCATATGTCGTCCAACAGAAAGCCTGTACCAGGCTACAAATATTTGTATCAAAATGTAGTTCCTTTTTATACTAAAGCTGAGTACATATATATTTATTTTGTGATCAGTCCTTGCCATCGTGTAAACGTTACTGACTTGCATGCGTAGGCCTTCAAGCAGTTATTTTCAAGATGTGGTACTAATGGCTTGTTTCTTAGTGAACAAAATATTTGTATGATATATTCAAAATCGTGATTCGCATTCAAACTGTTACAATAGAGGTATGGACACATCGCATTAGCCCGAGAGCAACAATATTGCCATGAATATAAAGACATATGAATATGTATGTGTATATGTATATGTACAAATTATTCAAAATTGTTTGCATTGCTGCTACTACTATACAATAGTAGTGCTACTACGTAATAGATAGACCATGGGCCAGGCAAGTTTACTGGGATATGGAATATGGCCATTTCCCCGAAGGTTTCTTTCAAACTTGTTCAATATCAGTTTTTCTTGTTCAATATCAGTTTGAATGCAGCATTTGTCTTTGAGAAAGCTGGTCTGCTTGTGCTTCAATCCTCTTGTCCCTTAGCTTGCACAGGGGGGGGGGGCTGCTTTCAATTAAAACCCAAAAAGTGTGGTACTAACCAAAAAGTGTGGTACTAATCTTACGCAAATGAGTTTTAGTACCACACTTTTTTAATTGTACCACACTTTTCTGCACTATGGGGATATAGACACATGCAGAAAATGAAGGACTCTCATTGGCTGAGGCGTAGTGGTCATGTTACGTTCTAATATACAGTAGTAGTGCGTATACATACATACATACATACATACATACATACATACATACATACATACATACATACAGCAGTATTGTATAGTAGTATAGCACTTGAACATATCCAGGTACAACAAATTATTAGCCTCACAGTAGCAGTAGTGCAGTAAACATACCCGAAGCACAGTAGAGTGAGTAGACATTCGTGCAGCAGGCATGACAGTAGGAATACATAACGAGGAAACGGAACAAGAGAAAGAACAATCAATACTGGCAAGCTAATTATGACAACAATGGGATACTTATTACTTTTGTGTGATAATAGTGTGTGTGTGTGTGTGTGTGTGTCTCTGTGTGTGTGTGTGTGTGTGTGTGTGTCTGTGTGTGTGTGTGTGTGTCTGTGTATGTACTATGTGTGTGTGTGTGTGTGTGTGTGTGTGTGTGTGTGTGTGTGCTTGTAACTAAAAGCAACAGATAAATAGCAGCAGTCCTATTTCTCCATACGTCACAACTAGATTCGTGACTGTAATTAGTTACAACTAGATCTGAGTTACTAACCGAAGCCCATATAACTCAATGTCCTAGAGCTCGAGCGTTTTGTAGAAGCTCTCCATATACAGTTCTTTTTCGACAGAGTCCTTTTCTTGGAGTTGTTGCCTGCACTTGTGCCCCTGCAAGCTCAGTATTGCCAGGACCGTTGTAGACCATCGGAAACCATATGTGCACATTGATCACAACCGAGCCGATGTCAAGAGTAGTACGGTGGCTACAAGCACGCAGAAAATAACGAGCGATGGGGGCTTTCCTCTCGGAGCTTCTCCAAACACGAATACAGCTGAAATAAAAAAAAAGACATGCTTTCGAAACTGAAAGGTAAAATGGCTAATACATTGTATGAATAATCATTGAGCGTATACTAAGCGTACGATGACTACATTCAAGAGAATGCCTTTGTTCACAGTGGCAGAACGCATGAATGCATTATACTCGTATTGCCAATACCTGGACCCTTCGGTTTCTTCTTCTCTTTTTTATGGCGAGCCTGTTCCATCTCTTGCTCTGCGACTTCCTTCTCCTCCTGTAATAACTTTTCTTCTCTCTCTTGTTCTTGTTCTAAAAAAATCAGAGAACATTTTATTTTCTAATAATATTTTATATTAGTTAACATTGTACATAAGTTTCGACCAGTAAAGGATTGATATAGCTCATTGAATAAACAAACTGTACCACTGCATACTATCGACAGGATGGAGAGTTCAAGGGTGCAGCATTTTCGTACACCAAGAGTAAATGCAGAAGAATCTGATGAATTTACCTGAATAACAAGCAAAGGCAATTGTAATAACCAAGAAGGGAGATATTCAATTATCAGTGTAATTTCTAACGTTTCCACGATGTTTATTTTTGCTGTGAATTTTGCTGTGACCTCTCTACCGCAAATGCAAGTTCAACGTTACCTTCCAGCCAGAATCTATCTATTTGCATTTCCTTGGATTGGGCATTATTGTGCGACCTTTCAACGAGCGCTACCGATCCGGACAAATGCCTATCATCACACTCAACGGAATTGTGCGTTTTTCTCATTGATTATGGAGATCTTGAAAAAGTATTGCCAATACCTTCTTTTTTCTTTTCTTCTGCTTCCATGCTCTTCGCTGCTGGCACATCTTTCCTTTGATAGTAATTGCGATATGGCCAATCCGTCCATTCTTCCCTTTTTGAGTACGTGTCCTTGTTTTCCTTGTGTAACCAGCATTTGGATGTCTTGGTTTCCTCATCTGTATCGGCAGGTCGGTAGTTGAAGGACTTACAGACCGGGTTGGCACCGTCATAGTCCCCATAACCCTCCAGACATCTGCGGGCGCACTCTTCGACGCTGATTTTCTCATAGCCGGCGCCTTCAATAAAAGTTGTTTTATCACCGAAATAACGGCCTTTCTCCTCGCTAAAGAATTTGCCGACTTCAGCTGAAGGACAAGTGGAGAAAATGGGATATGATCATCATACATGAACATGAAAGATATTCAATTCCCGTGAAAGTAAAGATATACAATACACTACTCGAAACGTTATTGACAGAGCATTGCTTGACACAGTTATATAGTCCTTATAACCCTCCGTAGCTAATAGGCCTTGACGAAAGTAGATATATCACCGAGAAAACATTAATCACCACACGCAAACACACACACACACACACACACACACACACACACACACACACACACATACACTGATGGTCAATAGACTCAATACCGATCACAACAGCAAAATGACTTCTCCCAACAATATACTAAAGTGGACAGTAATGGAATACACAACTGCATATATTGCCAGTACCTGGACTCTTCTCCGGTTTTTGCTGTGTCGCAACTGCCTTCTCCTTCTGATCACCTGAATAGAATTTAAAAAAAAACAGTCAAAAAGGTCCTTCGGTAAAAGCGTTGTTGCTAAATTACGTTCAGATCTGTTGGTGTGGTTAAAAGCTGGACCGATTCCAGCAGTGACGCGTCCAAGAGCAAGCACATGTCAGTTAAACATGGGGCTTATGTCTGTGTAGTATATAATGAGAAAAAGAGGGAAAAAACAGACCAAAACATATTGATCCAGGACCATTTCTTTGTAGGTCTTTATTTTGGTAAATGATTGTCCGATGAAATGTTGCTTCACCAGCACGCTGAAGAATCTGATGAATTCAAGTTACCTGAATAACAAGCAGAGGCAATTGCAATAACCAAGAAGGGAGATATTCAATTATTAGTGGAATTTCTAACGTTTCCACGATGTTTATTTTTGCTGTGAATTTCGCTGTGACCTCTCTACCGCAAATACAAGTTCGACCTTCCAGCCGGATTTGCATTTCCGTGGATTGGATAACATTGTACGACCTTTCACTGAGCGCTACCGATCCGGACAAATGCCTATCATCACACACAACGGAATTGTGCGTTTTTCTCATTGATTATGGAGATCTTGAAAAAGTATTGCCAATACCTTCTTTTTCTTTTCTTCTGCTTCCATGCTCTTCGCTGCTGGCACATCTTTCCTTTGATAATAATTGCGATATGGCCAATCCGTCCATTCTTCCCTTTTTGAGGACGTGTCCTTGTTTTCCTTGTGTAACCAGCATTTGGATGTCTTGGTTTCCTCATCTGTATCGGCAGGTCGGTAGTTGAAGGACTTACAGACCGGGTTGACACCGTCATAGTCCCCATAACCCTCCAGACATCTGCGGGCGCACTCTTCGACGCCGATTTTCTCATAGCCGGCGCCTTCAATAAAAGTTGTTTTATCACCGAAATAACGGCCTTTCTCCTCGCTAAAGAATTTGCCGACTTCAGCTGAAGGACAAGTGGAGAAAATGGGATATGATCATCATACATGAACATGAAAGATATTCAATTCCCGTGAAAGTAAAGATATACAATACACTACTCGAAATGTTATTGATAGAGCATTGCTTGACATTGTCATATAGTCCTTATAACCCTCCAGACATCAGCAGGTGCACTCTCCGTAGCGAATAGGCCGTGACGAAAGTAGATATATCACCGAGAAAACATTAATCACCACACGCGTACGCAAACACACACACACACACACACACACATACACTGATGGTCAATAGACTCAATACCGATCACAACAGCAAAATGACTTCTCCCAACAATATACTAAAGTGGACAGTAATGGAATACACAACTGCATATATTGCCAGTACCTGGACTCTTCTCCGGTTTTTGCTGTGTCGCAACTGCCTTCTCCTTCTGATCACCTGAATAGAATTACAAAAAAAAAAACAGTCAAAAAGGTACCTTCGTAAAGACGTTGTTG